GCAAATTAGAATTTTAGCAATTTAGGTAATTTAAATAAGTGGGAAAATAATAATAAAAAATAAAGAATTCAGAACAATTGTTGTTACATAATATGACTTATTATTCATTCTAAGTACGAGGTACGAAAAAATTAGCATGCTACAGTGAGAATACTTAAGCGATAAGTAACAGTCAAATAAAAAGTAAGTAAATATTTTTAAAGAAATTTTAAAAAAAGTATTTAAAATTTTTATACTTATGTCTTTAAATAGAGTTTTATATAGGATTTTTTAATTTCGAAACTATTTTAACGTTCCAATCCGATTTTGTTAACAGGAGTAAAAACTTAGGAAAATATTTTAAGATAAAACTTAAGGTTGTGCAATAAAATTCTAAACCAGAAGTTAGACAAACATAATTTGGAAAAGATATTTTTGGATTTTAGTGAAGTAGAGCCATTTGGGAGTCATACCATTTTTGGGAGTTACACACATGAAAACATACTTATCAAGATGCTTTATTATCATCTATTTCTTTCTAAATTAATGATAAAGGGTTAAAAATTTTGGACAACTCAGTAAACAAACTTCTTATAATAGATATGCTTTTATTAAAAGTATTGCCTTTAAATCTAATATATGTACTAATACATATATACTAATATACATGTAATTTAACTCTCTATCGACAAAAGCCTTAACAATACAAAATTATCAAGGCCTGGACTTATCTTTGTTTCTATCTCGCTTGCACTCCCTAAAAAATCGTACCTTGAAAATAAAAAAACACAGTGAAGCCAAAAACGTCTGATAAGTCTCCTTCTTTGCTCTAAGCATTGTCGAATTGAAATTGGCATTAAATGCCAAATGTTGTTGTTTCTCTTGACTGTGGTATAAAAAGCAAGCAAACAAAGATTTGCGATTTTGGTTTTGAAATTAGTGCAGTTTGTAAATGAAAATTTATAAAATATTTAATAATAAGTCTTAAAAAAAGAATATTATTTAACAAAAACTTATAAAAAGAAATATAACAAGTGAAAAAACAGAACAATTTTTTTTAGAAAAAGAAAAAGGTACGTAGATTAAAATTGTTATTCGCATTTAAAAAAACAAATGGGTCTTTTCCACCATATACATGTGAATATTATTTATTTTAATAAATAAAAGAAATATTTGATCAATAGAGTTTTAGTTAATTCATAACTTGTAAATTTTGTTTTAAACTAACTTAGGATGACATTCACCCTTATTGTGAATTTCACTCGTAGAATTCTACGAATTTCAAACTAAGTAACGTACGTAAATTTTTTAGTAAATATTAATCTCACTCGAAGAGATTATGAATCTGCAATGGCAACATTACTTTTCGAAGTGTGGAAATCGATATTTTACTACAGCTTACAACTGTCAATATTTAAATTCTTCAAATTTTATAGTAGACATTTAAAAAATTAATAGTCATTTCAAAAAACAATACATAATCAAAAAAAAAATTAATTAAAATGAACTCGTTTTCCCTAAAGAAAATTTTGATGTAATACAATTAAAATTAATTCTACTAAATACTTGCATTTTCTACTCTTGAACACTGGCTTTCTACGTTTGAAAATTCGATTAGTAGAATTTTGACATTTATTTTCATTATGAGTTCATTACGAGTGTGATTATGTCTGTATTACAAAGTTCGGAATACAATTCTACTACTACGAGTATGTTATCTTCTCCGAATTGAGTGCTACAAGTGAGATTTACAATAAGGGTGAATATTTTACCAGAGGCCGATTTTTTTTCTAAGGAAGATTAGTTTGTGTTTCATAAAATGTATCACACATACGATATTTTCAATGAACTTTCGTGTTATATAATTACAGTTCTCCTTGAAATAAAAAGAAAGTGGATTGCAGAACGAAATGTAAAGAAAGTGGAGTGAAAAGTTTTCATTTCAAATATTTTAGCAAACAGAACTACTTATATGGTCATAAAATTTTGATTCAAAATATAAAATAAAAATTATGTGGCCAAATTTATTTAACGGGAGATGCTTTACCTAATTTATGTGTAATAAATATTTTTTTTAAATGTGGATTGTTTTGTTAATATTTGCCTTATAGAGTGAAGATTTGGTCAACAAAAAAATAAGCAAAATAAAAATAATTTATTCAAGGAAAATAAAATATATGTTCGAATTATTTATAAAGAATATTGTTTTAGAATGAATAAGTATGTGAAACTTAATTAATAATTGAGAAAGTATGCGACAATATACCATATACTATAGTGAGTATTGAAGAACATATTAATTAAAATTTATTGAAAAGTATGTAGTTTTGGGAACCGTTTCAATCCGTCAATTTGGGTATAAATCGCACATTTTTCCTCAATTCATTTTCTATTGAAACTATTTTTTATGTTTGAAAAAAAACTATTGAAGAAGTAGGTCCTTTTCGTTTGCTTAATATCTTTTTATTTTCGTATATTCTGATTTAATTTCCAATCAATTAGAAGAAAATCAGTTTTGATAAAGTGCATATTTAGCGCACGAAACATATAAGCAAAAATAAAAGTAATTTATTCCTAATACTCGTAAAAGGGAGTTTTCTTTTCATACACTTAAAAAATAAAAATCTAAATCTAGAAATTTATTCAAATATTTTAGAATAATTTATTCTCGATCTTTCATTTTCTTTAATTTTTGTATCTTAAAAACGCTAAACGATTGTTCTGTTAGTTATTAAATGTCAAAAAATTTTTTTGCTCACAATAGAATATCTGCACTCATAAGGTTTTAAATTAATTATTCATAAGGTTTTAAATTATTATTCTGTTTATTAATCATTCTTTTAATTAATTATTCAGAATCGTGTTCATAATTCTTTATCAAAATCTTTAACAAAATCAATATCATCATAACAGATCAAAACTCAGCGAATTTTGTTGCCTTTGTATTTCGTTTCAAAATTTTAAAATCTGAGCTTTAAGAGAAACAATAAAAACAAGAAGACCAAATATTCGAAATACAACGAAGTCGGGTAATTCTATTTTTTAAAATTATAACAATAATTGCAAAAAAAAAAGTTTATAAATTTATCCTTTTATAAAACGTATATTTTTAGTGTGATCAGAAATGAGTATGAGATTGTGAATTGAATCATTTTTAGTTAGATGTCGCTACGTACACAAAAATCTAATTTTTCAGAAACTAAAAATTAAAAGGGCTGAAAATAAAAAAAAAGGCTCAAATTCTTTTGGGCTCAAAATAAGCATAAAAACAACAAACACAAAACGAAAAAAAAAAATTTAAATTTTATTATTTTGAGGATTTCAAAAAAATATTTAAATAATTCTCAAAATGATGTTGATGTCTTTCATTTATTTCCATTTCATTTTTCTAGGACTCTTCAAAAATTTTGAAAATAAGTGTTTACAGTTTCCCTCTGTCCACGTACATATTTGCAAAACTTCTACACCCTTACGAAAGCACACTGACATTTCATAATATGTGTATAAATGAATTGTTAGAAGAAACTTACTTCCGTAGAAAAATTTTAGCTATCTCCCCCTTCCCTCTAAACGCTATAACCTTCCAAATAGCCATTTTAAAGAAACCACAAGCATTCAAATGCAAAAGAGCATAACTAAATCTTAAAAAGAAATGTCCGATAAAAATTAACCGTTACCTAAAGCCTTTTCAAGTCTTATTATATAGAAGTCTGAAGCTTCTCTAGCTATTAGATACTAATAAAAATTTTTTTCCAACTACACCTCTCAAGTTTTTGCCTCTCTAAATTTGTAAAAATCGCATTTTTGGCAGTAAATATTCCCAAAACTGTAAGCTTTTTCAAGTTTCTATGAGTGAAATCTAACAATCAACCCTTGAAATCGAGCATTATGTTAATGCCTCTATTTTTTTTTTAAAGCAGTGTTCCCACCTGGAAAATTGCTACTTTACAAACCATTTAAAGTTTTAACCAACTTTATTAATATTGTTAGCTACTTTTAATAAATCTTTTCGATTTATAAATAATTTATTTTGTTCATAAAAAACAAATATATACGTGTACATATTAACGCAGTCAGTACTTTTAATAATAAAAAAAACATAGTGTGCTTTTGAAAAAAAAATATTAAAAATCACATCATATGAAATAATTTCAAAATTTAAAAAATTTTAAATTTTAGAAAAATTTTTGAACTGTATATTTATTATAAGTATGTGGTTATGTGTATTTCTAACAAAAATAATTCTATTTGTTTGTTTTTTTTTTCATAAATTCGCACACATAAAAACGCTTTTTATTAAATTTTTTAAGGGAAATTTCTATTTTTTAGTTTTTTAAAAAGAATATTGGTTCAAATAATGCCATATATATATACAGGCCATCAAGCTCAGAGAGCAAATCAAAAATAAATTCCAAATTTATATGAAGTGGAAGGTGTGTCGGAATTTGACTCTACTGATTCTACATATTTTTTTAAATTTAAAATTTAAATTTCAAAAAAATCTATTGGTAAATTCCAACTGAAAAATTCATTTAAAAAAAAAATTACAATTGTTAGCGCAGACGCCTTTCTTGTCTTCCAAATAGAAGGGTACTGAATAAAAAAATTTTTGAAGAAAATTTTTGAATAAAAAATATAATTTAAAAATAAATTGAGGAAAAAAACAAAAAAGTAATAATTATAATCTAGATGGCTTTTTAAAATACACTAAATAAGATGAGATTCATAAAGAATACACAAAAATCTTCGCGCTTTGATAGATATATGTATATGGTATTAGTTCAAGTCATCAATTATAATTTTAATATTTGGTTTTTTTACCTACTTGAAAATTTTAAATATATTTTATAATTTTCAGTATATTTTTGTTTTTAAACTGAAAACTAAAAATTTCCCTTCCAAATAAACTGAAAAGTAGAATTTAAAAAGCTGAAAAGTAGAAAAATAAAATGTTCACGTTTTTTTGTATGAAATTCTAAGTCTATAAAATAGTTTCTGGTGTGATATAAAGAGCTTCTTACCACTTTTGCCCAGTTGAATGGAAACATAAGACCTATATGTGATATATCCAAAAATAACAGCAAACATGTAAAAAGAATAGAAAATAAGGCGCAAAAAACCATTAGTCTTAACCGCCCTATTAACGGCAGTAAAAATATTCCCACTTGCAACGTTCCAGCCGAACACTCGCACAATAGGCAGGCAGCGGATGACAGCTATAGCAAAATAATTAAATTAAAAAATATTTATTTTTTTAATCCTATATACATACATATGTGTATAAAATTTACATTTGATATGGTACTAAAATTCACGCGGACGCATTAATATGAAAATATGATCAATTGAATTTTTGTCGTTTCACGTAAGCTCAAAACTATTCTAATTTTCTATTCTAAATTTATGGCATAAAAAGTAAAAAAAAGTTCAGAGTACAATGCACATTACCTTTATTGACATTTTTAAACTCTTTTAATAACTATTTCAAATAATATAATCAAAATTTCCTAATTAAGAGACGTACACTGCCTCAACAGCATGAAAATCTTGTGGTAAAAAGCAAGACAATTTTCATGGGATAAAGCTTCTTTATAAATTAATTTTTATAAATACCATTGAAATTTACTCTTCTCGTTTTGAAATATTCCGCTTTTTTAGGTGTATGAAAAGAAAACACAAAAACAGCTTTATCAACATTTTTAATGAAATTTTTTTTATTCCGTTTTGAAATTTATTATTCCATTTTGAAATTGACTATTATCATTATGAAGCTTACCATTCCACATTGAAATTTCTATATTTAGAATTAAAATGTTACATTAATTTTCAAGACTCTGGTTTGACTTACAAACGTTATATAAAAATAAGTAATAAATAAGTAGTAAAATTAGTTAAAACTAGGAGAATATTCAAACTTCAATATTTGTACATCCAACCTTTAGCTTAAACAAGATCAAGGAAGAAATATATGTACATAGTGAACGCGAAAAAAGAATTGCGTTTTACTAATTGGAGTTATAAAAAAGACTTCTCATATGATCATACTAGATTAACTACATATTTTTAGAGTCTTTCAGTACTTTTTGTAAATCCTAAGATTTCGCAAGGTTTGATTCCAAAAACTGTTCTCGAAGAAAAATTATACAATTAATCGGTGCTTTCTGAAAAATACTCTCATATGGTTGAAGATGCATGACAAATAATATTGTACATATTGTTTACTATTGGTTACTTGTCTATTTCTAAAGAAAGTGTACATTTTTGTGTGATCGCGTTTCGCTAATAAATGTTTTAATACTTAATGATAATCATGAAATTTTGGAAAATGGTTGAGAAAAGTCACACGATAATTTCAAAAAATATTTTGCTTGATATTTTAAAATATAATACTTGATATTTCAGAAGATCGTAAAATGCAAAATAAGTAATATGTTGAAGTCAAAGATCTTTGTATCTGGGAAAGTGTTATATATAAAAGCTGTTTATTAGTTAGGTATTGTGTGACCGTACTTCACTAATAAGCCGCTTCCGATTCTGGAATTACCACACTCTTTGAAGCCTTATTACGTTATTTAAATTCAATTTATCTACATATATCTATACAATCGTACATATATAAATATTAAACTAAAATTTTATGTGATCGCTCGGTTTTCACTAACACGCCACTCTTCACATCACTATGACGTTATTATTAGTTTTTTAGAACCACCCCATGATAATTTTAAAAGTTTTTTTGAAAAACCTGATAAGTTGTAGTAAATATTTCGAGCTCTTTTAAGTCCTGTTATATTATTGATTTTCTATATATTTATATCTATATATCACTCAAACTGCTCTTCACTAATAAGCTGTTTGTTGCGTGATTATTAAAAAAATTGTAAAATCTGTTATTTCAAATTTTTTTCAAATTTTTCGAACTCTTTGAAGCCTTGTTATATTATCTATCTTTTATCGATCTATATCTACACAACACCTTTTTTCAACAAGCTGTAGTCTTTTTATATGTACATACACTGTCCCACTTGTTAAACAGTTTTATCATTAAATAATACAATGAAAATTAAAAAAAAACTGTTCTGTTATTAAATGCTATTAAGTCTGTTCAAATGCTATTAAATGTTCACTATTTCAATTGCAAAATATTCAATGAGTATAAAAGCTGTAAAGGTTCAAATAACATACTGGTACAAAATGTGAAAATAAACCTTACAAAACTCAAGATGACTTTTTGTTACCCATTATATCCCCGCTATATAAAAAATGTTAGAAAAATAAAATACATACTTTAAAAACACAATACGTACTATAATATATTTGAATTCCATTTTGAACAAATTTGTAATATGTATTTCATTTTGAGAAGCGTATCATAACATCCTATAATTTAGAATTAATTTATACAAAAAGTTTAAACTAGATATCCATACGCAAACATGTGACAAATACTCAAAACTCGTTAAAGTATTGCAAAAAAATTATTTACAAATTACCATCATTTTATAATTTACTAAATGCAGTTATAATTATGGTTTTACACCTATTACTTCTTTGATAATGAAAATAGGAAATTGCATTATGTAGCACTATAATGTGTCAAATGTTACAACAAAAACAAAAATGTGTTTTTACCACAATTGTTGGAAATGTACTTAAAGAATTGGTTAAACCATTTAAAGATTGTTTTTTTGTCAAAAATTAAATTTTACATAATATACCTACATATGTATGTAGAAGCCAAATTGGAATAACTTACCACTAAAAGAAATCGAACAATTCCGGTAGATGTCTTTAAATGCGAACCATCGCAATGTAAAGGAACTCCCCAAGTTGTTTGATTTTCATTGCACTTATATTTATATTGTGCATGCGAATCCCACGAAGTACAAGTTCCAACAGGAGAATCTAAGGTTATCGAAAATTCTCCGGCTCTGCTGCCTGCTATTTCAAAATCTTGAACATCATCTAACTGACAGCAGGCCGGTTCTAAGTCGCGTATTTCGTCCAGTAGGAAATCTATCTCATCGACTCCATAAATATCAGATACAGAAGCTGATGTATTAGTGGGTTGTTGCATTTCACGTTTCTGGAGTTGCTCCACATCACAGAATATTGTACAAACTTAGGATATGATAAATTTTTTCAAACCTAAAATATATAATTGTTGTGCAGAAACTTCTAAAATACACTTTCAATTGATATTTATATTAGAAATTACAATAAGCATAAACACTAAGTTTTCGTTAAATATGAAAAAGTAAATGGAAATTTTTTCTAATTAATAGGTATGTACATATATTGACAGCGAATGTGTTAAAATTTTGTAGTCATGTGCTTGATTTTGTATTTTTGTGTTTATATTTCAAAACTTACTTCGCTATAAATACTACGAACATTGAATTATGCCCTTAAAAACATATATCTACTGCAAAATCTGGAAACTCCTTGATACAAAATAAAATTGTCGAATTAAAAAAATACAAATCTGATTATTGGTAATCAAATTGGATTATGTTAAATGTCATTACTTTCTCTTTGACATTTGGATTGAGGTCACTTATAATACACTTATCTCAATAAAATGCGAAAATTGATTAAACATTTTGACCAATCACTTCAAAACTGAATATTATTTGAACTAAATAAGTTTATGTTTGTATTATTCCACTAAATATTTGCATGTCATTCACCTTTTGTTTTAAATGATTTTAATTCTCTATTTCCAAATCTTAGTAACATTTGTTCTTGTTAATCTTGCTTTTTACAAACTATCTAGTGCCGTTTTCATTTCTACTAATTGAAGAAGATTTTGGAAAAGGATTATACATAATGTAATCGATTTAATCAATTGTAGCTTCAAGAAAATTAACTATTGGAGTATATACCTACATTAAAAAATATTTAAAAACTTTGGAAATCAAAAATATTACACAAACGTCTGTTTTTGCTTTTATAAGAATGTCACAGTTAGAGTTGCCAAACTTTTATAAAAGTCATTTTTGTTGAAAAAGCTATTGCAGTAAAGTATTCAAGCGACCCTGAACCCGTATTGCACTTTGTTCCAAGCCGAAATACATGCAATAGAGATCTGTCTGAAAGTCAATTTAAAAAAGGGGTATAAAAATCATCTATGTGTTCTCGGACGGCAGGCGGCTTTGTTGTCACATCATTCGGCTCCGGTTACATCCAAGCTGGTTTGGAGCTGTCTTACTGCACTTGTGCAGCTGCTGCCTTTCTGTGGTCTGCCTTTATTTGCCACAAGGGCAAGGCTTGCCTGCCGGCTCGTGGCGTAATGCGGTCTTCGCTAGCGGGACACGAAGAGGTGTCGTTTTGCGAAGGTGTTCTTTCGGTGTACTATGGCGGATTCACCGCAGAATTGTTGGATATGAATAAGAGCCAGGTTTGCGCTATTACGAATTTTTTCACAGATTACGCCTAGTGAAGTATCACCTGCAAAGGTTGGGGAAATCGGTTGTGACGAGGCCGCCGTGCACATTTATTACGACCGCCAGGCACTGGCTGTCCGGCGTCGCAATTGTTTTGGACAGGGATTCGTAAGCGTTCGGGAACTGCTGCCCAACTCCCTTAGAGATATCTTATGCCTTATACTTGGGACGGGGATATTATAGTGGGGCTACAATAAGTTAGGAATGGCTCCGGTGGCTCGGGAGGTTTTAAAACATCCTATCTTGAAAAAAAACATAGTAAAGCCAAAAACTTCTGATAAGCCTCTTTCTTTGCTCCGACCATTGTCAAACTGATATTAACATTTAAATATTAATATTTTTTACTTAAAAAATTATGCGCCGCTATATAAAAAGTAAACGAAGAAAATTTAGTTATTTTATTTATAAAATTAGTGAAGTTTGAAAATAACAAATCATGAAATATTTAATAATAAATGTTATAAAAAGAAAAACCTTATGAAAAAATTATAATAAGTGAAAAAAAGAAAAAAAATATTGAAAAGAACAAAGTGTATAGTTGTAAACTGCTATTCCCATTTGCAAAAACGAATAGTTTTATTACACCACATACATGTGAATACTATTAACATATACATGTGAGTAATAATTAATTCATAATTTGTAACTTTATTAAGTTTTTAATTTTACAAAGAAAACATTTGTTTTTATTTTGTTTTAAATTAAAATTACTTCGGATAACATTATTTTACCACGACCAGATTTTTATTTTAAGCAAAATGACTTCGTGTTTGATAAAGTGTAGCATACAAGCAAATATTTTATATGAATAATGTCTTTATATCTAACAAGTCCCAATGCTCAGAGAGAAACTTGAAAGCACGACCTTATTTTATATGGGTTTTTTTAAATCGAAGTGGCTATTTTTTGAGAAGAAATATTAAAATAAATTCACACTTATTATAAAGCACGTAAAATTTAGAAAATATATTTGAAAAATCAAAAAAATATATTAATATTTTCATTAATAATTATTTTAAAATTTAAAAAAAGGAGAAGCAACAAGCACATCCTTCGCCTTCAACGTTTTATATGTTACTGAAAGCATTTCATTATTTTTAAGTGAACAGCTTTTTTTTCTCATAGGGTAAGTTAACTCAAAATATGAGGAGTAACTGTGGTGTCAAGTTGAAATATAATTAATGAAAGATAATTCTTAAATATTGATATAAATACATAGTAAAGAAAAAATTTGAAGAGGGAATTAGAAAATAATATCTAAAATACAATCAAATGTTATTTGTTAAATACAAATTTTATATAAACTTCAAAATTTTACTTCTATTTTTATTTGAAAAAATATTAAAAACTTACTATCATTTATATCAATTACCTAAAAAAAAAAATATTTAATATGTTTGGAAAAAACAATCATATATTTTTATGACCGGATTTGAATATTTTTTTATTTTTGAAATAAATGGTATTTTACCAAATGACTCAAAAATTCCGACTGTAAAATAACAAGTATTTTAAAATTTTTGTTCAGGTATTTTAAAATTCTTTCCGTTTAGAATTAAGATAGGTCATACATACACATGCAGGGACATTTTATAAATAGATTGCGCTTTTTTACCTGCTAATAAAATATGAAAAAAGAGCACAGCAAAATTTTTGAAGCACTCAATATAACATGTTTGAAATAATTTTAAAATAATTATTTAAAAAAAAATTTATTGGAAGTAGGTACATACATATTTATTTTTAATAATTTAAAAACTAACTGAAATTATTTGAAACAATTTTATAAGTAACGTATAAATAACTGAAATGAGATAATTCAAATTGTTGAAATGTGTCAACCTATATTAGTTTTAATAACATTTTTGTTAACCGACACTACTCAACTTACCTTATTGGGAAATACAAAATGTGCATAAAAAATCATACATCCTTCCTCATTAACATTTGAAACCATACTGAAATATGATTTTGAATTTTTTTTTTCATTTTTTCTTTCCTCCTACCTTTCTTTCTTTTTCGTGCAATAGAATTTAAATGGGAAGCTTTTTAAAAAATGTGTATAATATCCTGAGATTTTTTAAAATATTTAACTCTTTTTTACTTAAAAAAAAAGAAAAAAATAATAAAAATTATGACACGATCAGTGGCATTTAAAGAAAAAACCAGCAACGAAGCAAAAAATTCGTAAATTTCGTAAAAAAAATTGAGTATTGGGACTTGTTAGATATAAAGACATTAATATGATCTTTTCTTGTATAGTTGCAGTTTTCCTAGTAATGATGTAAAGATTTGGTCATCAACAAAATATATGATAACGTTCCTTTGCCATTGAATTCAGTAAGTAAAATCAAATATTAGCATGAATTATTTATATAACAAAATATTTTGTTTTGGAATGAATTACTATGTGAAACTCAATTAAAGAATAAGGAAGAATACGACAATATACCATCTACTCCAGTGAGTAATAACCGTCATAAAATTTGTTAAAAATTATACTGTTTTAGAGACATTAAAATATACATATATGTATTTATATTCATTGTTATTAATAATGTTTAGAGCTGTTCAGCAAAATTGTCAAAAAAACTGTTGATATAAAAAATTTCTCAACAAAATATGTTCATTTTTGAGGGTCATAAAATATTGTGGTATTAAAATACTTATAAATATTTGCAAGTTATAAAATAAATTTGTTCAAAGAGAAAAAAAAAATAACGAGTTTAGTTTAAATTTGTTTTTTTTTTTCACAGATATCTAACTAAAATGAAAAAATTGTTTGAAATATTTTTTAGTCTTTACTTTAAAAAAAAATTAACTTATCATTTTTACAAATTACACATATTTTATAGTAGAGGCCAGACAAGAAAATAAAATAAATACGATCCTGTTAAGATTTTAACAATGGTCGGAATAAAGAAAGAGAAAATTAGAAAAATTTGGCTTAATTTTTTTTTTAAATACCCTTTCCTTTAGTATTTCTAATTCGCTGTCCTGACATCTGCAATCTACAAAAAGTATCCAAGAGCGTGCATAGGCAAATTACTGTTTACATACACGACCGAATCTACGATTTAAACTGAGTCTGGTGAAAGTCGTATATATAAACCCAATTAAACATCAGACTTTTTCTACTATCGGTAAAGTCTATCCTTCTTTTTTTTTCTTATGGGATCTGTTGTCTAACCATTTTCTGTACTAATTTTTTACAATACGGGAATTCAGATATTTTCGGCAACATATCAGAAAAATAGATCAACTACTTCATCAATCTCAATCATGATTGTCAATATTTTATTGACATGTAAACGCTGACTTAAAGGATTATTACAATATAAAAAATATGTTGCATTTATTGTATGAAACAATATAATGAAGTTTGCAATTGAAATACAACTATTACTTTCTAATAAAATTAAAAGAAAAACAGACATTTGTATTTAAATTAAATTTTTATTGAACTGTATTGAGTATTTTCATTTTTGTGGTGAACCGTAAAACTTGGTATCATTAAACCGTTTGTCAAAATTAAAAAAAAAAATTGTTTTCTAAAAAGAAGATACAAGAAGGAATATAATTATTCTTTAACTAAAAATAGTTTTTGATAGCAAGAACCAATAACACAGTGTTCAATGATAATATGTAAGTTAAAAATTTTTTTTTTTATTGAAAAATTTGATTATAAATTGGTTGTAGGTTGAGAAGGTGCACCATTATATCAAAATAAAAGAAAAACATTGATTTTTTATTATACTTAATTAAGTTTATTGAATTTTATTAATTTATTTTGTAAATAATTTTAACACAAATAAATATAAGGTTTTCCTTTTTTTAACATATGTAGTTGCTAAATTTCAGCCAAGAACAAATAAAAGCGCAACCCAAAACGCACCTGGATGGTCATAAACTCCTAAAACCAGTCAAACTGACTAACCATTAGTTTTGGTCTATCTTGTTTATGTGTTTATTTTCCAGGAAGGAAGACACGGAAGTGCTGTCACAGCACTCTAGGCCAATTCGACAGGTCTCGCTCGCTTCAGCCTTTTTGTCCAAACCCTTTTTCCTATAAGTCGGAAAGCCTCGACATGCTGTTCCAAACGCGCCTTATGTTTTGTGGTACAGTTCCTTATCTCCTTATTTACTTGGGGGACACCCAGATCCCTATGAACATCACTATTGCACACCCACTATATTACAAAGGCGTTTGTTCAAGAAAGTTTGTATTTGTTTGATGTGTGTTTGTTGGCACAATCCCATAGCTGCAAGACATACGTCCATATAGGCTTTATCATTTGGTTATATATCAACACATTATTGTATGTTGGGTATCCAGATTTACTTTTATTTACTTATATTGTTGCTTGCTTCCTCTAATTTTTTTGTCGATTCTTCAAAACTTGATCCCACTGCCAATATAGATGTATCGGCCACAAATATAGCAAAAATTACACCTTACACTATTCTGTGTACTTGGTCAATTGTTGCATGCTTTGTTCTAA